CTGAATTACATACTTTAACTAGGTATATATCAAGAGATTAATAATGTTGACAGGTCATGTCCAACCACACCACTTATTGTTTGTCATTAATATAGATTTTGTTACTTTTTGTTGTATTTAAAAAAATGTTGAAGGCTAAAGTTATGTACTTTTTGTAGATCTTAAAAGAATTCACGATTTATAATTTATTTAAATATTGTAATTATAAGTATGTAAATAAATAATATACGTTCTGACCAATTATACAATCGAATAATCGATGTAAGTTCGCAGAAGTTAGTTAATTCAAATTTGTGTTTGCACATAAGTATTGGGTACCCAAATTAATTAATGAACATTAAATATATAACTCAATTAGTCAAGTACTATATAATAAAGTTTGATGTAAATATGGAATAGACCACCTAAATTAGCTCAATACTTGTGCCCACAGATTAAAACCATGAAGGCTTCAACTCACTTATTGAGACCCAGAGCCGTCCCTGGGCATGACTGCCCAGGGCACTTGCATAGGGCCTCCAAAATTTGGGGGCCCCAAGTAGAGAACATGTATATACATATACTATACAGCAGGCAGTGCTGTATAGTATGTGTATATATTAATATTTTATTTTCTTTTTTAAAACAATTGGCCCCCAAATTGTTAAAAAAAAAAAAATTATATACTTATATACATATATAATATATTATATGAGTTATTTATATTGGTCATGTTTGGTAAGATAGTTAGCTTATCTATTAATTTTGGCTTATTTGATTATTTTTAACTATTTGACATGGTTAAAAAATTAATATAAGTGTTTGGTTAATCAGTTTTCTGTAATTCCAAAAAGCTAAAATTCAAAAAGATGCTCAAAGCAATTTTTTCAATTAGCTTTTTGAGAAAAATAAATTATACCAAACAGCTATCAGTTAATTTACCAAATATTTTTCTACAATCAACTAATGTTATCAATTAGTCTACCTTCTAACCCATTCAGCTATCAGCTAACATCCATTTACCAAATAGGCCATCATTTTTTTTTACAATTGGGCCCCAAATTTGGGGGCATAATTATAAAAAAAAAATAATAAAATTATATACTTATATACATATATATTATATGAGGATTGTCAACCCGGTTACCATTCCAAATGGATGTTCATAGGTTTGAACCTCGGTGGTGGGGGCTTAGATTCTTTGATTTTCTAGAAGTGGTCTGAGTGGAGGTCGTCGGCCGGTAGTATACTTACTGTATACAAGTTCCGAATTTCAAAGACTGAAGTTCTTCATTAAGTAGTTTAATCTGGGTCTGGAAGAGTGGTTCAAGGTGTACAAAAAAAACTCTTGGATGTAAATTGTAGAGCATTTTATACTTGTACTTGTAGTCACAGTCTTAACTTGACTTTGAGTGCATGATATTGCAAATAGTTGTGGCAAAACAAGGGATTCCTTTAGAGTAGTGCAACGTATTTATACAATTGAACAACTATTATTTATATTTATTTATATATATGAAATACTTGAAAAGGGGCCCAAATTACGATATTGTACAGGACCTCCATTTTTATTGAAACGGCCCTGTTGAGACCTTAAAGGCCTCAACTTGTTATATTATATTATATATTGTTGCACGTATCAAAATGGTAATTTTAGTCTCCTTTGCCGCCTTATAGGGCTCCGATCCCTGTATATTGGTCGTTATTGCAATGCAATACCAAAGGGTACGGTATTTTCTCTTTGGTCAACTTTAGGGCCTGCTGGTCTAAACGACTAAACCTCATATTAGGGCATACCAATGTGAGATGGTAAAGATGCCACATAAATTCTAATATATAAATATAGAACTTTTTAAATGAGAACTAGTAATCTTGTGAAAATGTGCAGACTATTCTTGATCATTTGCTTATATATATATATAGGATAATCAAGGTTAAAAATTAATGAAAAAAAAAGACAAATGTAGTGACATTTTTATATTTACGATGATGCATTTGGAAACACTTTATAGTGTATTTAAGATAACTAATAATGTACATAGGGTGAGTGTTGCACTATTATAGATCTTAAGCTTAATGTCAAATATTCATGAATGTACAATCAAGTATTTTAAATGTATCGTCATAATTACATAAACGCCATAATGTTTTCTCTTAATTTTTAGACATTGATATGATCATTTTAAATGGACATATGAAATTAACTTGTACGTTTTCATAAGTAAAAAGTGATGATTGATCTGATTCATTCCATCAAAGTGCCAATTGATCGAGTTGATCAACGGAGCAAATTAAAGTGATGAGCTCATTATTAGTTCGAATTCATCATATACTAATGGGCCAATCATTCAAGATCAAAATGGCCTACCTGGTTATCTCTCTAACAAAAAAGCAACTAAAATGGACAAATTAAGGGCATGTTTGGTAAATGACTGTTAGCTAATCTAATTAGTTGATAACATTAGCTGATTGTAGAAATGCGTGTGGTAAATTAGTTGATAGTTGTTTGGTATAATTTATTTTCTCAAAAAGCTAATTGAAAAAATTACTTTGAACAACTTTTTGAATTTTAACATTTTGAAATTACAAGAAGCTGATTAACCAACACTTACATTGATTTTTAACCAAATTAAACAGCTAATAGTGATCAAATACGTCAAACTTGATTGATAGGCTAACTATTTTACCAAACAAGGCCTAAATCCAGTAGTGCATAATGGAGTAGTGGCTTTTCTTCCCCGCAAGAAAGCAAGCAAATCATACATAGCCACATTCGATTGAGACACATTTTAAATTTATATATTGATCTCATTTTGACTTAACTGCTGATTCATCCTGCATTAAGATATCAATCAATTCAAGAATCAAGAACAAGTAAATATGTTTTGTTTTTCCTGTCAAATAATTAAACAAAAGTAGTTGAAGACATCATGCGGCACTCATGAGTAGAAACTTTCCATTTTGTACAGTTCTACTAATTCAAGGGACCAGGCTAGCAGACATATTTTACTTTGTTTATTTGAATTGCTAGCTTTTGAGAGTTCTAATGCCTTTTTAATTAATGCCTATAATAGTTTATAATTGAGTGCTCAAAGTATTAGATCTGGCCTTGTTATAGTTAAGTCACCACAAAATACACATAGCAAAAACCTTCAAATTAAGAGATTTATGACCATTAGAGCATCCCCATTGATGGTAAAAAGGATTTTTTTTTTTTTTTTAATAATAATCAGAGTTTTTATTATATGGAGGGAAAATGATATAGGAGAGAAGAGAGCGACATAAAACCAAGTTATAGTATGTGGCTTTTCTCTTAGTATTTTGGGGAAAAAATTAGTGCATGTTGCGCATCAGCGCTATGCGCTACCCAACAGTAGTACGTGCGTGCACCCGCGGGGAAGCATTGGTTGGTGGCCAACTCTTTTTCTTTTTCTTTTTCTACCCAGTAATAGTGCACGCGCCCCCTTGATCTCTTCCTTCAAAATGGTCCGACAAAACCCTAAAAATGTTCCAAACGAGTAATCTTTCTATTATCCCCATCGTAGCTACTAGCTAGTGCTTGGGGTAGCTTCTTTTCACATTAAGAAATGTCTTTCTCCTATCTTTTTCATCGAAGATTTTTCGTAGAATATAGTTGAGAAAGTACGCATAGGTATATATATGGAAAATACCTTTAGGAGAGTTGTTTTGAATAGGACCGATTCAGATTCATCATGTTATATTGAATGTGAATACACATTCATATTAGTTGAAAAAATGTATTGTTATTATTTAACTTTCTTAATTTCTTAATTGGGAGGTAACATGGCGTAGTTATATGTGCTTGTGATTGGCCCATTACTACTATACATCTATCATCACTAATTGGCAGGTAACATGGGCGTAGTTGAACTTCTACTATACAGCTATCACAAATTGGAATGATAATAATGAAAAAAAAGTATTTTTTAGTTATGCTTTTGTTCACATAGCACTGTAGTAATTTGCCTTATTCATATACAACACACTTGAACTTTTGAATGATTGAACTATTTCGTTCTTCAACCAATTACTCTCTAGCTTTAATTATTCGCAAATTTAAATCTGTGTTTTTATTATCAATTAGTTTATGGTAAAATTATACTAGATCTATAAACACTAACTTGATGAATTTAGGTATCTTGTAACTCATGTTAACATATTTGAGACATATACAAGTTTAATCGAAATTATAATTATAATATAGAATTAAGTTCCAGTGCATTTAAGTGTTTTTCATGCGGTTGTGCAGTTTTAACGTGCGTCAGTTTTGTATTTCAAGTGCGTGAGGGTTGTGCTTAATGTGAGTTGTTGTTGAAAACTTAAGTGAGTGAGTTTTGTGCTTAACGTGCGTGAGTTTTGTGCTTAATGTGAGTAGTTGTTGAAACTTAAAAGGTGTCTGAGTTTTGTGCTTAAGGTGTTTGCGGCTTGTGTGCTTGAGGCTTATGCTTAACATGCGTGAGTTTTGTGCTTAACGTGCGTGAATTTGTGTTCTGAAGATGTTTTATTTATGTGCTTAATGTGCGTGTGTTGTATATTTAAAATGCATCAGTTAATGTTTAATGTGCGTCCAACCGCACGGGAACTAAATTGAGTGAAACACAAAAGTCTGGGACGATATTAGGTCACCAAAGTCGTTTAGGACGAAATTGAGAAAAACCACTATAGTCGAAGACGATTTTGGGTATTAACTCATATAATTAATCAAATTCAACTTTAGATTTTCTTAAATGGACTAGTTCTAGAGCCCGCAAAGCCACGATATGTGAAAATACTTTGATAAGAGGCCCACTATAGCCCAACATCAGAACCAGAGGCCTAAGTTGAGTCCCAACAGTGCTAACAAAGCCCAATATAACATGTCTTTTTTTTTTTTTGAAGAGAAAATATAACATGTCTTTTCATCTTACGTTTAAGATATATAATATTTATTTCTTTGTTCATTTTCTCTCTTTTCATTTTCCAATTGAGAAGATTCCTTTTCAGTTATCATTCATCATGCATTATTATCATTAGTTGTACTCTATTAGAGAGAAGCCCAGAGCTTAGAATTGCATTTTACCCTCCCAACTCTCTTTACTCTTTAGATTTAGATCTCCCTCCTCTTTCTCTCTCTCTAAACAGAATAAAATTTTTTCTGCTTTTGGAGGGTTCGCCTGTGCTCCGAGATCGCTCGCGGATTCCATTAAACCGCTCTCATCACTCACATTCTCCTCGCGTTGGTTATCGGCTTTCCACTTGCTGTTGCTTTGCAGGTCCGGAGCTCCGATTCCGCTGCTGCCATGGCGGCCGCTAACGCTCCGATCACTATGCGGGAGACTCTCACGGTAACAAATTCTCTACTGTTTCATTTCTGCTTCGGCAGTTGTTGCTGTTGTTGCCTGGAATCGAATTCCGGATTTCTTTTTTCTCGGTTATAGTGTGGTATTAGCTGAATGTGATTTCCGTTGCGATGCCGCGTTGGTTGTTGTTTCTGGTTGGTTTACGATTGTGAGGCATGCGTTTGTTAGATCTGTGGTGTGTGGTTGGCGCTCAGATCTGTGACGTTGTGGATTGTATGGAGTAGGAGTTTGGAATTGATGTTTGTTTGTGTGTTGTGATTGTGTAATGCAGTTGTCGAGCATAGGAGTTAATCCGCAGTTCATCACGTTTACAAACGTCACTATGGAATCTGATAAGTTTATTTGCGTGAGGGAGACTGCGCCTCAGAATAGCGTGGTGATCGTTGATATGAACATGCCAATGCAGCCTCTGAGACGGCCTATTACTGCTGATTCTGCTCTTATGAATCCCAATTCCAGAATTTTGGCTTTGAAAGGTACCTGATCTTGGTTAAGAGCATTTTTAGCTCATTGGATTCTTTGCCTATACCGGTCAGTAGAACTGTGTTCAATTGAAAAAAAAAAAAAACTTGAGATGCTTGTTTATGATTTTAATTGTAGTTGATTTGTGTTAGTTGTTTAATTGTTTTTGCTTCTGATTCATTATCTAGTTGTGTTAGTAAAACTTAGATTTAGTGGGAAAAAAACTTGAGATGCTTGTTTATGATTTTAATTTTAGTTGATTTGTGTTAGTTTTAGTTGATTTTGCTTCTGAATCATCTTCTAGATATGTTAGAAAACTTAGATTTAGTGGAAAAGATCTCTTAACATGAGAAAAGACCAGGATGAGAGAACCGATTTGAGAGAAACATATGAGTTGTGGTGGCTTAATTGAGTGCTCATCGGAGGAGGAGATTTTTAAAAAGAGAGGAGAACTATATGCAAATCCATCAGTGCTACTGATTGAAATTGTTTTTTTTTTTTTTTTTTTTTTTTTTTTTTTTTTTTTTTTTTTTTTTTGAGGATTATTATGAGGGATTGAGGGAATTCATTTAGCATTTTGAAAAAGGGGTGGCCTAGATTGGTCACTTATGGAAGCTAGGTGGTTATGTTCAATATTTTCATATGTGTCTTCACTTACTTAAGGGGCCTTGTATTTTACTAAATTGGCACACATTTGATTAAGTCAGAATGCTTTTATAGTTTTTATTTGACAAAGCACTTCTTCCCCTTTTCTGAAGCCCAAGTTCCGGGAACCACTCAAGATCATTTACAAATATTCAATATCGAAGCAAAACAAAAAATCAAATCGCATCAGATGCCTGAACAGGTGCATATTTATTGCATTAATTAATTAATTAATTTGTTGTGTTCCTTAAACTGCATGGATTGTCAGCTACATTTCTCCATCCAATAAACCTATTATTTTTGTGAATATAAAGCATTCAGTACACTTTTTATATAGGTTGTTTTCTGGAAATGGATTACACCTAAGATGTTAGGCCTGGTCACGCTAACCTCTGTTTATCATTGGCCAATTGAAGGTATGATAGATTTATATCTCAATATATTGCCCTTTGCCTATCATGCTAAAATGACTAACTATGTGGCTTTATTAGGGGATTCTGAGCCAGTAAAGATGTTTGACAGAACAGCAAATTTGTCCAACAACCAAATAATCAATTATCGATGTGATCCTTCAGAGAAATGGTTGGTTTTGATTGGGATTGCTCCAGGATCACCAGAGGTCTGTAAACTTAAGAAATTTTAAACCACAACATGCAGTGAAATGTGATCTGTGGTTTTTATTTTATCTGCAACGGATGCACATTTTTTGTTAATAGTCCAATATTGTTTGTATGGACACAGAGACCTCAACTTGTCAAAGGAAACATGCAACTATTCTCAGTGGATCAGCAGCGCAGTCAAGCTCTTGAATCCCATGCTGCAGCATTTGCCTCATTTAGAGTGAGAAAAACACCTTGCTATATCTTTGAATTTTACGGAGTGCCCCCATATTTCTTGTTGACTGGTGGATATCATGTAATCAGGTTGCAGGAAATGACAAGGATTCTATTCTGATTGCTTTTGCAACAAAATCCTCAAATGCTGGTCAGATTACATCAAAATTGCATGTTATTGAGCTAGGAGCCCAACCAGGTGCTCTTCTGATAAAATCCAGCATCATAACTTCTAATCATGAGCTGAGGTTTTTTATTTTATTTTATTTTATTTTGGGGGGAAAGGGCGGGGGGGGGGGGGGGGTGAGGTTCTTCTGATTAACTTCCTACTCTCTTCTACATGCTCCAACCCCACCACATAAAAGGCCTAATCTTGAATGTGAGGTGTCACACTTATTTGGTGTGGACAACATTTGATGTTTTTATATCTATTAGGTGTTAATTCTTTCATATGCTTTATGTAGTGCTCCATACATTTTTGCTATTGTTTTATCCTTATGCTCGTTCTATGTATGGTACTGTTGAGCAGGAAAACCAGCCTTTACTAAGAAGCAGGCAGATCTTTTCTTTCCTCCTGATTTTGCTGATGATTTTCCAGTTGCAATGCAGGTAATCTTGGTTCTCCCTTTTACAGATGTTCTTGGCAGTATTTGTGGAATAATTTTACAGTAACATAATTGTTTTGTTTTTGGCAGATATCCCAGAAATACAGTTTAATTTATGTGATTACAAAGCTTGGACTTTTATTTGTTTATGACCTCGAAACTGCTACTGCAGTATACAGAAATAGGATCAGCCCAGACCCTATTTTTTTAACGGCTGAAGCTTCTTCAGTGGGGGGTTTCTATGCTATCAACAGGCGAGGCCAGGTGTTGCTTGCCACAGTAAATGAAGCAACACTTGTGCCCTTTGTTAGTGGTCAAGTAGGTGAATTCATTATTTGTATCTTCTTATTAGAAACATGAAGCAACTTTTACTGTAAGATTCATAAATTTCAATATATTTTGCAGTTGAATAATCTGGAGCTTGCTGTTAATCTTGCCAAGAGAGGAAACCTTCCTGGTGCTGAGAATTTGGTTAGTTGATGTTTGTCACATTGCACCCTTTCTGATTGAAGGTTATTTCGTCGTGTAGGAATTGCCTTCATTTCCTTAAATAGGTCTCATGCTTTTAGAAGTATGAGAACTTATCACTTAATTATTCAATGCTCTAAGTCCACTTTGTTGGGGGTTTTAGACTTTGAGATGCCAACCTGTGTCCTAAAAAGCAATGCTTTCCATGTGATCTTATATTTACATATCTAATATGAATCAGGTTGTCCAACGTTTCCAAGAGTTATTTGCTCAGGCCAAGTATAAAGAGGCGGCTGAACTTGCTGCAGAGTCTCCGCAAGGCATTCTCCGCACTTCTGATACTGTTGCCAAATTTCAGGTATTGGTTATTTTACAATTGCTAAGATTAACTTAAAAATGCAACCTAGTTTTTCGATCCAATTAAGTGCTAATTGCTCAGCAGTCCATGAGGTAGAGTAATACCTTTCCTGATAATTTTATTCAAAATGTCCTGGTCTGTCTGTCATATGCATCTCAACCACTACCATGTTGTCACTCTTTCAAATTGGCCATCCATGGATTTAGATTGAACATTTCTACAAGATCCTATTTGGTTTTCTTTCAATTTGTCCTGAACAGGCACAGCCCTTGCTTTATTTTTGATCAAATTCATTTATATATGGCCAGAATATCTTTCCATATGGCCTTTCTTTGTATTATCATAAATCCATGATCTCTGCCATTTTGGTGTGGTCACTCATTTTCAACATTTTTCTTTCACCAGACAAAATTTGCTGCAATCTAGCATACCCAATTTCATGGTTTTTGGACAGTTTGCCTTTCATCTTCTGTAGGAAATTTTTATTTAAATCTTGTGACATTATTATTTATATTACCATCCATTTATTTGTTGAGAAATAGGACCAACGTTATTGGCTATGTTAAAACACTTATAAATGATCTTTAATGTGACTTACTTTTTTTTGTAGAGTGTTCCTGTTCAAGCAGGGCAAACACCACCATTGCTTCAGTACTTTGGGACACTTTTAACTAGAGGAAAGCTCAATGCCTTTGAGTCGTTGGAACTTTCACGCCTTGTTGTGAACCAGAATAAGAAGAACCTCTTGGAGAACTGGTTGGCAGAGGATAAGCTGGAGTGCAGTGAGGAACTTGGGGATCTTGTGAAGGTTAATTTAAAAATATACCTTGCGTGATTCTCTCTTCATTTGAAGTCTATTTGTTTTGTGTTTTGGGATTTGCTAGTTAAAACCTTTTCCTGTAGACTGAAACTTTCTGACATTTCTTTGTTATTCTAATAGTAAAACCTTTGTAGACTGTGGATAATGATCTGGAGTTTCTTTGTGATTCTAATTGTAACTCCTTTCTTGTAGACTGTGGATAATGACCTGGCATTAAAAATATACATCAAAGCAAGAGCTACTCCAAAAGTTGTTGCAGCCTTTGCTGAACGCAGGGAGTTTGACAAGATTTTAATATACTCCAAGCAGGTTAGTGGCACCACTGTGGCCTCCATTTCCCGCTATTCCTCTCACTTGATCTATTAGTCTTTAAATTGTCAATGTAATCTAAATATTCTCACATCAAGTGATTTGGTGGATATTTTTTTTTTACCTCTGTATTAATCTGTAATAACATAAGATATATGATTTCTGCTTTGCAGGTTGGATATTCGCCTGACTATCTTTTCCTCCTGCAAACAATTCTCCGATCTGATCCTCAGGTAAGCCATTTGGTGCATTTTGGACACATGATATGCTTATCAGAGTCTGAATGTCTCTCTTAGTGTGAGTGCTGCTTATGAAAATTTTGATGTACTCTTTATCAATGAATCTTCTTGTGGGTTGTGTTTACCTGAAGTGTGTTTCTTCATCAATTAATAATGCTATCTTAACACAGTTGAGAACTTACCCTTTTTTTACTGAAGCAAATGGATAACATGGACTTACTATGTTTAGCTGTGTAGGGTTCATGTTGTTGATGCATATAGACATTTTGTGTCTGATATTTGCAGGGAGCTGTAAATTTTGCACTCATGATGTCCCAAATGGAGGGAGGCTGCCCTGTTGACTATAACACAATAACTGATCTATTTCTTCAGGTTAGTTCATAATTATTACTTCCTTTGGTTTACAAAATCATAGCTCTATTGCTCTGTTTGAAAAATTCTCTTATCCTCTGTGAGGTTGATTTTGTTTTTATTTTTATTTTTTTATAAATCAGAGGAACTTGATCCGTGAGGCTACAGCATTTTTACTGGATGTTCTGAAACCAAACCTTCCAGAGCATGGTTATCTGCAAACGAAGGTTGTTTCTTGTTTTACAATAATTGCTATGCAACATGTCTTGGCTTAGGCATATTGTTTTTAGCATCATGGTGACATAAAATCTCTCTGTTCAGGTCTTAGAGATTAATCTTGTTACTTTCCCAAATGTGGCTGATGCAATTTTAGCAAATGGAATGTTCAGTCATTATGATCGTCCTCGAATTGCTCAACTTTGTGAAAAAGCTGGTCTTTATGTCCGAGCCCTGCAGGTTTTATTCTTTGCATATTTTATTTTTCCCTTTTCAGTGTGATTGGCTAGCCAGGTTTTATTACCCTACCTTTTTTTTTTTTTTCCTGTTTAAATTTAAATCATGCGACTCTTTCTGCAGCACTACAGTGAACTCCCTGATATTAAACGTGTAATTGTGAATACTCATGCAATTGAGCCTCAGGTTGGCAAACTAAATATATTACATAAGCTTTCATGCTGTGGTGATTATTAGACTTTTATGCCATTTTATTTTGTTGGGCAGTCTTTGGTAGAATTTTTTGGAACACTTTCACGTGAGTGGGCATTGGAGTGCATGAAGGACCTTTTGCTGATTAATCTGAAAGGAAACCTTCAGATAATTGTTCAGGTATACACTGGTGTTCTATTATATGTTATTACAAATGGGTGTTATTGTATAATCTAGAAACTTGCAAACAAGTGGTATGAAAGAATAGAAACGAGATATATCCTCTTCAGAGTAGTAATTAGTTTGTTATATATGCAGGTTGCGAAAGAATACTGTGAGCAGTTGGGTCTTGATCCATGCATAAAGTTGTTTGAGCAATTCAGGTCATATGATGGATTGTACTTCTTCTTAGGATCATACTTGAGTTTAAGGTATGTGTTGGAAAGAGAGTTTTGCTACTGTATACTGCATTCATATGTAGTACTACTATTTACTTGTTTAATTATTGGCATGTAGTGAGGATCCAGAAATTCACTTCAAGTATATTGAGGCAGCCGCTAAGACTGGACAAATCAAGGAAGTTGAACGTGTAACAAGAGAGTCCAACTTCTATGACCCCGAAAAAACTAAGAACTTTTTGATGGAAGCCAAACTTCCTGATGCCCGACCTCTGATTAATGTATGTGACCGCTTTGGTTTTGTTCCAGACCTCACTCACTACCTATACACAAATAACATGCTCAGATATATTGAAGGTTACGTCCAGAAGGTACTTTTAAAACTCTTTTATGCTTTGATAATGTTTTCAAGTCATGTTCATCTTAAGTTGTGTTTTTGTCTATTGACAGGTTAATCCAGGAAATGCTCCTTTAGTTGTTGGGCAGCTTCTGGATGATGAGTGCCCTGAGGATTTCATTAAAGGATTGATCCTATCTGTCCGTTCTCTGCTTCCTGTTGAGCCCTTAGTTGAGGAATGTGAGAAAAGGTAGTGATGTATGCGTTGTCATCGTTCTTCTTTCTTGGCCTTTGTTTATATTCTTATCTTTTCTTCTCATGAATTTCAGGAACCGGCTTCGACTGCTTACTCAATTTTTGGAGCATCTTGTGAGTGAAGGAAGCCAAGATGTGCATGTTCACAATGCTCTGGGTAAAATCATAATTGACAGCAACAACAACCCAGAGCATTTCCTTACAACCAACCCGTATTATGATTCACGTGTTGTGGGTAAATATTGTGAGAAACGTGATCCAACCCTTGCTGTTGTTGCATACAGGAGAGGGCAATGTGATGATGAGCTTATCAATGTAACTAGCAAGAACTCTTTGTTCAAACTTCAGGCCAGGTTTGATTTTTATGTAGTTAAGTTACTAGTGCCATGACAATTGGATTCACAAGGACCTAGACATTCACAATTGCATTTTTCTGTTTTAGGTATGTAGTGGAAAGGATGGATGGTGATCTTTGGGATAAGGTTCTGAACCCTGAAAATGAATTCAGAAGACAGCTGATTGATCAAGTTGTATCTACTGCTCTGCCTGAAAGCAAGAGCCCAGAACAAGTGTCAGCAGCAGTTAAAGCTTTCATGACTGCTGATCTTCCACATGAATTAATTGAGCTTCTTGAAAAGATAGTACTCCAAAACTCTGCATTCAGTGGGAACTTTAATTTGCAGAATTTGTTGATCTTGACTGCCATTAAAGCAGATCCCTCTAGGGTTATGGACTATATCAATAGGCTTGATAATTTTGATGGACCTGCGGTTGGTGAAGTGGCTATTGAAGCCCAACTATATGAAGAAGCTTTTGCAATCTTCAAAAAGTTCAACTTGAATGTCCAGGCTGTCAATGTTCTTCTAGATAATGTTCGAGACATTAACCGGGCTGTGGAGTTTGCATTCCGTGTTGAAGAAGATGCAGTGTGGAGCCAGGTGGCCAAAGCTCAACTTAGAGAGGGATTAGTTAGTGATGCTATTGAGTCATTTATCCGTGCAGATGATGCCACCCACTTTTTGGAAGTTATCCGTGCTGCTCAGGATGCAGATGTTTACCATGACCTGGTTAAGTATCTGCTGATGGTCAGGCAGAAGACAAAGGAACCTAAGGTTGACAGTGAACTTATATTTGCATATGCCAAAATTGATCGTCTGGGTGAGATTGAAGAATTTATTCTCATGCCAAATGTTGCTAATCTGCCGAATGTTGGTGATCGTTTGTTTGAAGAAGGTTTATATGAAGCCGCAAAGATAATATTTGCATTTATTTCTAACTGGGGAAAATTGGCAAGCACACTTGTGAAGTTGAACCAATTTCAAGGTGCTGTTGATGCAGCTCGTAAGGCAAATAGTGCAAAAACATGGAAAGAAGTCTGCTTTGCTTGTGTTGATGCTGAGGAATTCCGTTTGGCTCAGATTTGTGGGCTTAACATTATTGTGCAGGTATTTGTGTGTGCACTAGTATTGTAGTGTTTTGTCTTGTTGGGATGAATATTTTTTGAACTCAGACATGTTACTTACTATTTCTTCATGATCTTTTTGCTGATTTAATAGGTGGATGATTTAGAAGAAGTGAGTGAATTCTATCAAAACAGGGGTTGTTTCAATGAATTAATCTCTCTTATGGAAAGTGGGCTAGGATTGGAGCGTGCACATATGGGTATCTTTACAGAGCTTGGGGTATTGTATGCCAGATACCGTCATGAGAAGCTTATGGAACATATTAAATTGTTCTCGACCCGTCTTAACATTCCTAAGCTTATACGAGCATGTGATGAGCAGCAGCACTGGAAGGAGCTTACGTATCTGTACATCCAATATGATGAATTTGATAATGCTGCAACTACTGTCATGAACCATTCCCCAGATGCTTGGGATCACATGCAGTTCAAAGATATTGTTGTCAAAGTTGCCAGTGTGGAGCTGTATTACAAGGCTGTCCACTTCTATTTGCAAGAACATCCTGATCTGATTAATGATCTTCTCCATGTCCTTGCACTAAAGGTGGACCACACACGGGTGGTGGACATCCTGAGAAAGGTAAAAGGCTTCCCCATTTGTTCACCTTCCTTGTTAGCTTTTACTCATTCAACAATTATTTAGTCTATATCTGATCTGTTGCTTTTTGTAATTAGGCTGGTCACTTGCGTCTGGTGAAGCCATATATGGTTGCTGTTCAGAGCAACAATGTTTCTGCTGTTAATGAGGCTCTTAATGAGATATATGTTGAAGAGGAAGACTATGATAGACTGCGTGAATCTATTGAATTTCATGACAACTTTGATCAAATTGGCCTTGCACAGAAGGTGAAACTTAATATAACTATGTTTTCTGTCTATATATCTATTTACCTGTTCATCATAGTAATGGCTATTCCTTTCTTCTCTACATTCAGATTGAGAAACATGAGCTTCTTGAGATGAGGCGTGTTGCTGCATATATTTACAAGAAGGCAGGACGGTGGAAGCAATCCATTGCTCTATCCAAGAAAGATAATCTATACAAAGATGCCATGGAGACTGCCTCGCAATCTGGTGACCGTGAACTTGCTGAGGAGTTGCTGGTTTATTTCATTGAACAGGTAACAACATAGTTTTTTTTTTTCCCTCTCTTCATTTAACATGTTAATAAAGTTTACTTTCTCGACAAAAGGGCACTAGACTTTGAATTGTTGGTGGATGTAAGTAATGTGTTTGCTATGCTTTTGCAGGGAAAGAAGGAATGCTTTGCCTCATGCCTCTTTGTTTGTTATGACTTGATTCGCCCAGATGTTGCTCTCGAGTTGGCCTGGATGAACAATATGATAGACTTTGCCTTCCCTTATCTGTTGCAGGTGACTCTCATTCTCTTGCTCGTTTATGAGGGCAATTGGGCATTAATCCATAGTTTGCAGATACCTTCTAGCCAAGGAGTGTAAATAAAAGTTTGACAGAAGAATAAAAGTGAACCTTTGGACTTGTATTTTATTTATGGCTTGTGGAACACTCCCATGCCATATATGTATAGTCTTTTCTCATGGTTCTATCTCTTGCAGTTCATCCGAGAGTATACTGGCAAAGTTGACGAACTAATCAAAGATAAAATTGATGCTCAAAATGAGGTAAAGGCTAAAGAGAATGAAGAAAAGGATGTTCTGAAGCAGCAGGTATTTATTTTGTTCACCACTATTCTTTTTAGCTTAGATGCAAACCCTCATAATAGCTATACCTTATTCCTTATTGTTTGATTGAAAACTTTCTAATGCATACCTATAATTGCAGAATATGTATGCCCAACTTCTACCTCTTGCTTTACCTGCTCCACCGATGCCAGGAATGGGAGGTCCAAGTGTTGGAGGAGGCTTTGGTGGACCACCACCTTCCATGGGTGGTATGGGAATGCCACCAATGCCTCCATTTGGTATGCCATCCATGGGTTCGTACTAACCTGCTGGGATTCCATTCCATATACAACTGTAAACAAAATTATGAGGATGAAGTTGGAACTGAATTCTATGGTCCCTTTTATTTTTCATTACGTTTTTTGTTTGTTTTTGTTTAATCCTTTCCAGGTTTTACTTTTTTGCATGTAGTCGATGGTTGATTGGATAAGTTGGAGGCTAGTTTTAAAATAATCATTGTCTTTTGTGCTATAGGGTGTTGATATATATATATCTTTGTAATATTCTTTTAGAAGAGTCATTTTTTGCAGTTAGGCGGCAAGCTGAGGATATTCTGTATTGCTCTCTGATTCTTGAGCCCCGACTTCGTCCTTTGTTAATTCAATGATTTTTTTCCTTTGTACATTGAGATATCCAAACATTCGTTGCACTTTTTCCCTCTGTAGCTTTGATCTCATTTACTGAATGGTATAGTGCCCCCTCTAGCATGCACTGAATTCATGTAGTAAGCAGTAATTTGTTTTTATTTATGAAATCTCAAGGGGAAAAAATCTAATGCTGTTCTCATAGTGTTTGCTCTACCTTCTCTTTATAAATGTTTCTTTTTAATTAAAGAAGTGTTTTTCTTTTTTCCAACCAAATTAGTACGTTTATAAGCAACTAATAGCTCCTTGATGACAAATAGTCAGTAAAATGTTTGTTACATATTTTGATAAATCGTATTGGTTGATGAAATAAAAGAAATAAAGTAAGAGTATATTTTTATTCTGTATAAGCCCCTAGTTGAAATGGCTGCTCTGCGCTATTAGATTTAAGAAGTGCAAATTTATAATTATTATAATTTGATTTAGATTTAGATTAGATTAGAAGGTTAATCAAGGGGAGTAAAGATGTTTTTCCAAAATTAGTACGGAGTAAATTTTTTTTCTTTTTCTTTTTGGGGTCAATGTCTATTGGATTGATGAATATCAACTCTGTATAAGTCCCTAGTTGAAATTGGCGCTGGGCGGCCTAATGTATCACCATAATTGGTGATTTATGCGGCCGACTAGGCCTTCTAGATACCGATTAGGTCGCCTAGTCGATCGATTGTTTGTTTATTTTTTTTAAATGAGTTATTTCACTTAAAATAACATCGTTTTGAACGAAATAATTTTAAATTGTGATGTTTTTTAAGTTAATATTTAATATTTTAGTATTAACTAATAAGGGTATAAAATAATTTATACTTCGTAATTATCAAGTCTTAAAAAATTTAAATAAATTTTTAAAAAATAAAAATTAAATAAAAAGATACATGGCCTAGGAACTTTTTTTAATTATAGTTTAAATATAATACAAACTCACCATCTCTCGTATAAAAATACAATCTTAGTGTCATTAGACTACACAAGAGTTCTTGGCAGCATAAGAATTTAATTGCGTTGTATTTTTACTGTGTCTGTTTGGTGTGATAACAAGCCTTGTTGAACGTAAAACGTAATGTCCTACGTAATCCAGCTAGTAGTAACTTGTATTATCTTGCCACGTGGTTCAAAAAAAAAAAAATCTATGCTGAATTTTTGGGATAATTTTGTCATCCTCTCGGCGCCATTCATTTCTCAAGAGCACAGAAAGTATCAGAAAGAGAGGTCGATCATGGCGATTTCGCTCAACTCTGTCGTGAGCTTGAATTCATCCGTATGTCTCTCCATCCTTTCCTCTTTGCCCCTATACTTTTTCCTGCACATTTTCTACTTTCCTTTTCTTAGAAGCCCAACCCGCTATTTATGCTTTTTAATTTCTTTTACTTATTTGATTTTCACTTAAGATGGAAATGGTGTTTGAAGAAATTAAACAAGTTTATAGTCAACCATGTGTGCTTCTCAATGTTGTTGCCTAAATTATCATTTCTCTACCAAAATAGTTCTAAGGCTGTGAAAATTATACGTTTCCCTACCACTAATGACTCGCTTGATTCAGAGTAGCTTTATTTTTTCATTAAATGAATGAATAAAAATGTTTGTATGCAAAGCTTTCATGCTGTTTTGGGATTGTCTGAAGTGAGCTTTCCCAATTCTAAACTTTCAATTCTTCCACTAGGTATATATAGTAATAGAAACTTAGCACTAAAATGGAGTACCCCTTTTGCCCACAAAGGCGAAATTTCCTCACCCCTCGGGCCCCATAGGATAGTGGAAAGGTAAATCACGGTGGCTCAGTGACCTATTAGGTGGTAGGACTGGTGTTGGTGCCCACAAGGAGCCTACAACGGGCTGCCAGGGCTTGATCTTGTGTCTTGTCCATCTACCATCCAAGAACCAACTGAGCTACCTGTTTTAATTTTAGGAGTAGCTAAACAAGCATGTAAAATTTGCATTTAATCTTGGCAGCTGCTGCCTGATTGAAGCTCATTTGATGTGCATTTCTTGATCCAGTAATCATATTCTTCTATATTTAGCTTTTCATCATATATTGCTGCCCTACTTCTCTTCAATATACAATAAATTCAGAAATTGTTACATACCTATAGTATAGAGTTGCAGCGTATGAACTTGTAAATACAAAACCGAGCATCAACTTAGTGGTTGTATACTGGATCTATATCCAATTATGCATCCTCATCAGTGAACAATCAATGCCTTTAGATGGAAACTTTTAGACCTCCACTGCAATTAGAAGTCCCGCATCGTATAAATAAATCATACACCTTCGTGTTATATAAACGATGAAGTACAATATGCTGCAAGGACAAATTTAGATGGTTATGTTTAGCAACTAGAGGCATGAATGAAGGCTTAAGAATATGATCAATCTCTGAAAGTAATGTTGCTATGTTTCTGACCGGTTGTTTTCTTGGCAATGAAAGCTGCAGGCAAACTACCAGCGTGCATCAAAGGGAATCTCTGTGCAGAAGGCTCTCCAGTTGGCTTGTCCCTCACAGAAGGTGTGGTTACGCAGGGATGTAAAGGAGACAAAGTGGAGTTTCAATCTCTTAGTTGCAAATACCGATCGTGTTGAGACTGAGAGCTTAAATTCCTCTGTGGAGAATCCTTCACCGTCTGAGTCTTCAAGAATCGAGACTGAAGATCAACCTAGTGCTCAAGCTGATTCAGCTCCGGAAGGATCTGATGGTTCCAATGGATTACTAACTTCCAAAAACTTGAAAGAGGATGCGTCTTCTGTAACTACAAAGCCAGCCTTGAAAAGGTCTCCATTGACAGCTAGAGAAAAACTTAGGGCGGCTCGTGTTCTTAGCCGTTACAATAATGAATCAAAAGCAGCCTCTAAACCAGATATGGGAAGCAAACTACTTGAGGTTTTACGTGAGTCTGAAAAGGGTAAAAAAGGCCTTCCAGAGGCACCTAATAATCTATTTGATGATAGCAAAAGAGGGCTTCCAAAACCGGGCTGGACTTTCGAGCTTCCAGTAGGATTTGACGTGTTTCTCATTGCATTTTCATTTGTATTTATCAGCACAGTAATGTTCGCCACAACATACATTGTGTGGAAAGTTGGTGCCATACATTTCAATGAGTATTAAGGGTGGTCTCACAGGTATCCTCTTTCCTTCTCCATTTTCTGGACAAGCAACCAAATTTTTGGTAGCAGAATTTAGGCACTATCAATGCTTTTCTTCCCATCGCCAACTTTTGTGTCTTTACGAAGAAGTACTTGAAGGAGCCCCGATTTTTAAGTCGGAAGAAGGCCTGGGTGGGGGTTTGGAGTAAGGAAGGGATGGAGATCGAGATAGGCAAGACATACATCAGTGTACAAAATGGATCCAAAACTTATTAGTCAAAATATTTTCATTTCTTGAATTCCTCTCTTTTCCTCTGTGTGATATGCATAACGGAGTATTTATCTTTTTAACTCCATTTTGAAGGAGTCGAATGTTTAGCAATACACTTGTTTGATTTTCAGCTCAATGTTTAGCAATAACTTTTTGCACATCTACATAAACAAGTGTATGCCAAGTTGGTAACGACAAAGTTACAAATTTGGTTCCCAGCGGGGGCAGCCTATTGGCCTTCTTGGTTTGAGCCGGCCAGCTATGGGCAACCTAGGCTGGTTTACCTCATCCTTTAATTTGCCAGTTAGGGTCACAAGGCGGAGTTTACTCAATGCACACCCTCATATATCTCTATGATATGTTTCCCGGAAATTTTCTGCTTTGATGTGATTGTTTTTAATTTTTCAATGAATTTCATGTACTTTCATACCTAAATGACTTTAATTTGATCAGTGGTGGGGTGGATATCTTGATGCAATCTGTGTGATGGTGAAGAATACAATCTGGCTTATTAAATTACAAGATTGAATAGATTTGCATAGATTCACATGTTTATGTCTCTTTAGGGCAGCCATATATCTCCAGCCATGTATCTTCCACAATGTTTTGGCATGTTGTTAACATGGTTGATAAGTTGAGCCGAAATCCCAGAGCATCTACAGGCAAGTTGTGCCATTTTTCACTGCTTTTTCTTGTGTGACATATCCCCCCCTTCTTGTACAGGAATCTTTTGCTTTTATCCATATCTGCTTTACCCCCTTTTTTGTGTGATATATATCCTCCTCATGTACGAATATATATCTCTCTCTCTCTTGCTTCTATCCACATTTTGTTCATGACACCGACGATCTTGTACAGCTTTTGGATTATCCAAAACGTACTGATTATATGTGCATGGGGCCTGAGGAATCCAAAGAAATGAAACACTAACCTATCAGCTTGGGTTGGAACAATTGGTGAGTAGACTACTAATACAATTGTAAAGTCGGGAGATTGACTTTTACATGTGTGTGTAAGTGTAAGGTTGGATGATTGACTTTTGTATGCGTGTTTGTCAATGCAACTACAAGGTTAGAAGATTGACTTTTGTTTGTCTGTGTCCGTGTCGGTTAATGCAATTGCAAGAATTGCAAGGTCAGTTGGTCGGTTTTGTGTGGGTGTTTGGTCGGAAGGTTGATTTTTGTATGTTTGTGTTTGCTAATACAACTGCAAGGTTGGTTTTCTGTGTGTTTGTTATTACAACTACAAGGTTACGTTGGAGGGTTGATTTTTTTATGTTTGTGTAATTGCGCATGCGAATACAACTATAGGGTGTTTGCGTTTGCTAATGCAACTGCAAGGTTGATTTTTTTATGTTTGTGTAATTGCGCATGCGAATACAACTATAGGGTGCGTTTGCTAATGCAACTGCAAGGTCGGATGATTGATGATTGATTTTTATTTGTGTTTGTTAATGCTACTGACTCTATTACATTGTAGTATCTGTGCACACAGACTCAACAACGACATACTTTTTCAACCTAATGAAGCACACAGAGTTAGAGTCAACAACGCCTCCACTGAGGCTCGATTTCATGACCTCCCACATGGGAGAGGTTACTACATGTCATCTGAGCACAAGGTGCTTGGAGTATATTTTTGTCATTTAATGTAACTGTAATGTTTTTTTTTTTTTGTATATGTGCATTATGTTAAAGAGTTATGAGTCAAATTTTCGTCAAGCAAGAGAAGATTGAAGACATAACAAAATTTATAGATTATCTATTAAGAAATTAAAGAAAGATTCCCGGGAATGAGAATCGAATAAGTTAAATTTTGTTGAAAGAATGGGTAATAATAAGAAGGGTGAGGGGGGAAGGAGAAGAACCACACATTTGGTGGTAGATCAGTGGTCGTGTCAATCTTTTAAATCCTCTTTATGGTGGAAGTTACAGCAATATATGAGAGTGATTGGGGCAGGCCCTACAACATGGACTTATGGGTGATTGTAATTGAACATCTTTTGTTTTGTTGTGCAGGACAATCTCAATCATCACTATGCTTTGTTTGTGTAACTAAACATATCAAAGATCAATATAGCGAAATGATTGAGGCTCCAAAATGAATCAATTGGGGGGAGCAGCAACATCTCTAGGATAGGAACAACAGATTTAGGGATGTGCCCTCAACCTACCAAAAAGAAAAGATAAACCCTTTTTTTCTTAATCGAATATGATGAAAATCAAGGAATGGACGTGTTAAATATCTAGACGTGGGATTTTAGAGTAATCTAGATTCGTCCACATGGACAGCTTAGTCAGTTCTTGGGCCCTGTGATGGTGGAAGTTTCACTTGACAATTAAACGCTAACGTTGCAGCTTTGGACGAGCTGGTATTTCACGGCGTTACCGACGACGATGCCGCCGGGTCTCGGAGTGTTTCCCAACGGAAAATAGGCCGGACAAGTGACGTGGATATGGTAGCGGCTAGTGACGAGGGTCTAGACTTTTCACTTAACGCGTCCGTCGAGGCGGAAGATGAGCCAACGAATGTGGTGGACTCATTTTGGATACCAAACACGGATTCTCCCATATAATGAACTGATGGGTTACTGTAATTTACTTCTCCATTATCATGTTGGACCAAGGTGTGGGGTCCCGGAGAGATGAAATTTTGCCTTGGTGGGCGAGAGTATCAAGATTCCGTTCATTTGATCTTCCAAGAGTTTGACTCTTATTTGGAGACATAAAGGGTCTTTAACTTGTCGGTCGCCTACAAGAGTCAATCTTCCAAACTTGTTAGTTAGCGGTCTTACAGTCGATTTTAAGACTGCATACTCTTATTCGGAGAATAATGAATGCTCTATAACATGTCACACGGAGCTCACGTTCCAACTTAGTGTTGCATTATCTGTTCTAGATCAGAGCAGCTTCTAAGATTACATTAGCAGTCCGTCTACCAACTGTAAATTCGCAAGTATTTTTAACAAAATGAAAAACCAAACACTAGAGCAGTAAAATTGTGGGTGTAGGGCAGCGCAGTATAAATGCTGGGTCCATTCTTACATGCTTTCTCACTTAACTCTCCACTGTCCTGTTCGGTAAAAAAATGATAAAACATGTCAAGTCGAGGTGACAGTATGATAAGGCCAAGAATGATTTTCCTTTGACCATTTTAAAAGCTTCATAGATCTGAAACCAATCATCTTCTCCCCTACTTCATCACGCCTTCGCTAAACAAAATATATATATATATATATATATATATATATATACACTCAGCAGCCATTGATCGCAGACATTTAATGGGGTTTGTGGGGGGAAAAGGAGGAAAGGGGAAATTTTTTGATCGGAAATTCAAGAAATGGAGAATTCCTTCAGCGGTGAGTGGCCGGAAAAGGGCCACGGCGGCGGGAGTGCGTCGTTCCCGTGGTCGTTTCCCAGTGATTACTCATCTGCCGCCGCCGCCGCCGCCTTCCTGTCGTGGCCGGCGCAGCCGTTTGAGGAGGCCGCCGACGACCGGGCTTTGAGCGCCTCCAAGAGCCACAGCGAGGCCGAGAAACGCCGCCGCGACAGAATCAATGCGCAGCTCGCCACTCTCAGGAAACTGATTCCCAAGTCGGAAAAGGTGACATCTTTAATCTATTCTCTCTCTCTCTCTTACATCGTTAAACCTTATTTTCATCGAAATTATATTATATTCTTCGCTTTCCCCGACAGATTCTAGTACAGTCTGCGGCGGTTTTCCGCCCTTCTCTTTTTGAGTTTAAATAAATCTGGCATCTATCTGCCCAGAAATTGTGTCAGAACAACGCTTTAATTAGCCTTTCCCACTGTACCAACTCCAAATGATTACATATATAATTAATTCAAAATCGAATTACAATCTTTATTGAAGATGGACAAGGCGGCTTTGTTATCAAGCGTAGTAGATCACGTGAAAGACCTGAAGAGAAAAGCGACGGAAATCACGGAAGCTCTCGTCGACGTTCCGACCGACACCGACGAAGTGACCATCGACGACCAACATTCCACGACCGCCGGCGCCGCCATTAACGACGACCAAGCTTCAACCTCGTCGTCGCCATACCTCAAGGCTTCGGTCTGCTGCGACGACCGGCCGGAGCTTTTCGCGGAGATAAACCGGGCCCTGAAAGATCTCCGGCTGACGACGGTGCAGGCGGATGTGACGAGTTTGGGCGGCAGGGTTAAGAGCGTGTTCGTGCTGCAGCTTTGCTCCGACGACATGGACGCCGCCGGCGAAACCTCGAATGATCACATGATGATGAATTCTGTGAAACACTCCCTTAAGGTTGCCTTGTGTAAGATTGCCATTCCGGCTTCTACTACCAGTTATCGTATTAAAAGCAAGAGGCAAAGGTTTTTCCTGCCTGCACATTATCATCATTAACATCACTATTTTATATTATATTCTCAATTATTACATTATATTATATATATATATATATATAATTATATACTTCATTAAGTTTGATTTCAGTAGCCCTGCAGACTGATTTTCTTTTTCTATATATTTTTTCAAATTTTATTTCACTATTCCAAGTATAAGTTTAGACTTTGGCCCTTATGGGTAAATGGCTGTTAGCTGATTGGGTTAATTAGAGAGTATAATTAGTTGATAACATTAGTTGTTGTAGAAAAGTATTTGGTAAATTAGTTGTTAGATGATAACTGTTTGATATAATTTTTTTTCTAAAAAAGTTAATTGAAAAAGTTGTTTGGAGTAACTTTTTGAATTTTAGCATTTTGGAGTTCTTTATCTATATTTAGTGCACTATTTCTGTGACTCAACGGCCATTAGGTGAAAGGATTAGTGTCTGGTAAGGATCGGAGTTCACCACATTGAATTAAACTCAATAGTGTAGCGCTATCAAGATTATCCGGATTGGATCTTATGTCATTGTCCAAAATCTACTATTCAAGAACTAATTGAGTACGTTGTCTCTGTGAATGACATCCAGTATTCTTACTGGACTAATTTGGATTCATGTTAGGCATTGGCTTAGAGGACTAAGTCCAACATTCCGCTATTGAAACATTGCGTTAATTGCTACGCAAGTAATATAAAATAAAATTAAGTGCTACTAATTATATCTTTAAATCGTGATATATAATTCAGTCCAAATTTTGTTCCATGTTTACTCGGAAACAAATTGTTGAACTTTTGATCTATTAACTTAAAAATTTTAGGTTAGAAGACGGAACATAGCACATTCTTTGATTTTATGAAATTTGGATAATTGGTTTCAAAAAAAAAAAAAAGAAATTTGTATAAGTTGACTGATAAATAGTGCACAACATCATTTCAATATAGTTTCATGGAATTTTGTCAAGTCTTATCGAGTCGAATTGGTGATGTCACTTGTCCAAACTAATCAAAGAAGTAATAATTTATCGAGCATAATCTGTTCAGATGACACCTTGTAGCTCTTTCTAAGAGAAAGTCATAAAATTAAACTTCGGTGGTGGGGCATTGACTATTTGAATTGCAATAGATAAAAAAAAAATATAAAACATATACTGCCATTGGTTTATCAGCGGTTTGGAGCAACGATTGCTCCAAACCACTGAAAACTGAAATGATGCATTATGCAGCATTTCAGTTTGGAGTTTTGAAAAAAGAATGATCTTTTTTTTTCAAAAACGCCCCTGTATTATTAAAAAAAAAATGTAACGAAAGACATTAAAGACTCCTTAAATGAAGGAGACTTCTAGGCTTTCAATGCCAGTAATAGTACCTTGTAATAGAGTAAATAGTACTAAAAAAAGTAATAATTTATCGGGGATAGGACCGTGCTATGCACAACTATATAATGAATGTGAGTCCCACTTGGGCCTTGACAATTGGCATGACGGGAGCTATATTTTTTTTATTTTTTTTTTTAAGGGAGGCCGGGAGCTAAATTGAAATTTGACAAATAAAACTATATTTGTTAATTAATATTACAATTGCAATATATTTATATTAGAGTTATTATACCCGCCTTATATATATATTTTTTAGTACTACTGACTCTGTTACACTGGTGTTCAAACCTGTAACATCCCATTTAGGTGAGCTGCCGCTCGACCACGAGGTCTTTGGCCGCCCTATATTACTCAGAATTAGAATACACTATTATTCATTGTCTTTACCATCTATATCTATAAATCCGTAATACCTAATATCTGTTCAGAGCTACTTTCTCAACCTACTAAAACACAAATAGTTAATACCGCTTCCATTGAGATTCATACCCATGGGAGAGTCACTTCATGCCACTAGACCACAATGTCATTGGCCCATCAATTTATTTATTTATTGTTTCAAGTATATATATATATATATATATATATATATATATATATATATATATATATATATATATATATATATATATATATAATAATAATAATAAAATTTTGGAAAGAATAGTTAGGAAGCACACGAAAGTTACTAAGTTGTATAGTTTGGGAAGTCGCAATCTGAACCGTTTGGCATAACGCCTCTCGCATTTTCTAGCAAAAGCCGTTACTCATCCATTTCCTCCATCAGTTACCAACCCCCCACAACCTCCTACCACTTTCATTAATATTTTACATTAAACAACATTTTCATGCTTCTTAATTACCTCTCTTAATTAATTACACTTTTTTTTATTATATATAAATTAAATATAATTCTAATAATAATTTAATGCAAAATATTCAAGAGTATTGTCTTAAATGCAAGTATAATAATATTAAATGAGCAAATTAGGGGAGATATAATTTTTCCAAAAATACATATAATATTGTCAAACCAAGATTCAAAATTTTAAAAAGTAATATTGGTTAAAAAAAGAAAAAAAGAAAAGAGAAATATTAGTTCATACGGTACTAACAAGCAACAACCAATCTAACTAACAAGTAACAACCAAGAAAAAAAAAATTAATTTAATTTAATTTGTTTCGTCAATAAGCGAGCAGTTTACGGTTCATGCCAACAACTCCTCTTTCCTGACGGTTATGCATCTCTCCCCTAACCTTCTAAACCCTAACATTATATCTCTAATCTCTCTGTATATAATATCTATATCTATCTATATATACACACATATAAACATTATCAGAGAGTGAAACAAATTAAAGCTAGAAAGATGGAGGACGGCGGCGGAGGAGGAGGAGGAGGGAGAGTGAAAGGTTCATGGACGCCGGAAGAAGATGCGACTCTGGTGAAGCTAGTGGAGCAGCACGGGCCGCGGAACTGGTCGCTAATTAGCACCGGTATACCAGGGAGGTCGGGGAAGTCGTGCCGGTTGCGGTGGTGCAACCAGCTAAGTCCTGCGGTGCAGCACCGCCCGTTCTCGCCGGAGGAGGATGCCGTTATTCTCCGCGCGCATGCCGTGCACGGCAACAGATGGGCGGCGATCGCGCGCCTTTTGCCAGGGAGGACGGACAATGCGATAAAAAACCACTGGAACTCCACTCTCCGGCGGCGGAAGCGGAGTGCGGAGGACGCCGCCGCGGCGGCGCCGGCGGTGGATAAACGGGCTTGCTTGGATGAATCCTCGGCCGAGTCGAAATCGGAGGAGCAGAGTAAAATCGGCGGTGCGGAGGATGTGTTGCGACTTGACGGACCGGAGACTTTGCTGTCATTGTTCCCGCCGGGCGGAAAAGCGGTGGCGGATCCACCCGTCGGAGAAAACTCAGCGGCGGAGGAGGGGGAAGAGCCACCGCCAAGTAGCGTATCTGAAGACGGAAAGGAAGGAAGATCAAAGGTGGAGATTGAGATTAAAGACAAGTGTTTATTGATTATGCATCGTATGATCGCGCACGAGGTTCGTAGTTACATTGACAAATTACGGGCCGGTGGTGGGCTTGGGCCTGATTTCGAGTCCAATGTTCAACAACGACCCAAAACCTAAATACTTCTAAGCCCATTTGTGCTTTCCTATAATGTATACTTTCTGTTGGGCAAAGTCCTTTTGCGCAGTATTCCAAGGTGTTGTGTGAATTACGAAACTCTTGCTCCATTGTTTAGTCTTTCAACCATATACTTTTTTAAATAAAAATATGATAAAAATTTAAAATGAAACAAAAACAACTATGATAGAAAGTAGGGATGGCAACTATGATACTCCCCGTCCCAGTCCCCGAAACTTCGTCGGAAAATTTTAAAAAATTTTCGTTCCCGTCTCCGATCCTAGAAATTTTTTCCGGTCCCAAAATTTTTTTTTCCCGTCCTCAACCCCTGAAATTTTTCCCGTCCCCGTTCCAGAAACTTTTTCCCGTCCTCGTTCCAGGAATTTTTTCCCGTCCCGTCCCCGATACCTGAAATTTTTTCCTTAGCAACTATTATATACAGTCTCAAAAGGATATTGCTTTGAGATTATGTGTGTGTTAACATTTTATTTTTCATAACACGAATGAAGAGAGCTTTAGTGGGGTCCAATGCCCTCACACTATGGATCCGCACCTACTATGCACTAAGGGTCCGCCAATTTTAAGTTTTTGGCAAGAATTAATCTAACACATTTTATTTATAACAATAATAACTCTTAATAATTCCAACTATGTTAGTTTGGTAATCACAAATTTAATAGTATTAAAATAAGAAAATTATTAGGAAAATTCCTTATGCATTACAACCCATTACACTTTCATCAGTTTGACCAAAGACTGTCCTCTTCGTCAACACCAAGAACCTGCCATGGCAGGCCCAATAATTAATTGCATAAAAGTTATACTCCAAAAAGCCCAGACAAATTATTGCTTACCTATATTTAATAATGTAGAAGCCTGTCACAATGGACCAAACCCTTTTGGACTTGTAATTTAAACTAAATTAGTTAGACTATTACCTTGATAATAATAAGATTGAAGTTTAATTTCTGATAAAAGTAACATATTGACTTTTTTTATTTGAGTCTGTCAGTTATGGACAATTGTTACAAGGCAAAATTTACTCTCTGCACATCTTCAAACTGTGACTACGGAGAAAAAGATTTGTAGTAATAAAATGATAAATTTAATTGTCACAAACTTTTTAACGAGACACTAATGTCAAAGAACTTGTCACATAGATTAGTGTTTCTCTTATCTCCGATCATTCAATGATAAGAGAATATTGTGATGACTGATGAGATGTAGAGATCGAAAATACTGTTGACTGGATTATATATATATATATATATATATATATATATATATATATATATATATATATATATATAGAGAGAGAGAGAGAGAGAAGTAAATTAATAAAAAACAAAATTACTCAAAGTCAAACAGCTTTTTTTTTTTAATTTTAATTTAAAAAAGTGCAGAATGATGACGTCATTCTCAGGTGCAGGTATTCCTCAGAAGGTACAAGTATTGGTCAACGGCGCTGGCGGGGACTGCGACGTTGACTTTAACAGCGTCCTTCGAATCGTAGACCGGTAACAATATACAGTACCGATCGCAGATTACGGGCCCCACCTCGACCGGCCGGCCCATCCCGAAGTCAACCCTCTCGAGCCCTAGCCTTGACCATTGCGACATTATCAACACGCCCACTGAGTCCGGACACGCCCGAGTCGAACTCACTGATTCCACCACTTCTCTCACGTACTCCTCGTCCACTCGCTCTTTTGCCCTCTTTACTAACTCGGTGGCGTAGCTGAGTCCCTTTTCTGATAGGTCTTTCACGGTGGCCAGAGCGCAGCCGAGGACGAAGGCATTGCCGTAGTAGCCGCCGGGTAAACTCGGTTTGACTCGGTGCCGGACGTTGACGCTGAACAGGAGTTTTAGTATTTGGGTTTGGGGGAGATTAAGGGATCTCGCCCAGCTTCTCCATACGTGAGCGGAGAGGACTTCGAACGACGTGCATGGCGGCTCCGGGAGTTTTCCGGCGAGTTGGACGAGTTTCTTCAACTCGTTCAGCTTTTTCCGGTCGAATGTGACGGAGGTTGGCGTCAGCCTCTCCTGCGTAAACCGGGAGAGGAAGTTGCTGACGTCAGGAACTCGGTTGAACTCGGGGTGACTCGCTGAGTTAGTGCGGCGCGGCCGGAAATTCGCCGGGTTAAAAATATGGCGGTCCCAGACCGGTTTCTGTTTGAGCTCGGTGGCGGGTCGCCGCTTCCCGGCCGCTAACTCGGCGAAGAAGTTGAGAAACTCGGCGCTGCCGATTCCGTCGCAGAGACAATGGTTGAACCCGACGGCCAACGTGGCAGCATTACCCGACAGCCACGTCAGCTGGACGACCAACGGTGGGGCCCCTTTGAGCACATCCACCACGTACAACGACAGCAGCATCCGCCACTGCGCGCCGCACCGCGGCGCCCGTTCAAACTCCGCCGCCGTGAGCTCCGACACCGCCTCAATAAAAACCGCCCCCTGGCCGCGGCACACCACCTCCAGACCGGACCCGTCCGGCCGCGCCCTGACTCTTCCGGCGAGCGGATAGTACGGAACCAAGGCACGCCCCAGCGCGTCCTTCACTCTGGCCGCCGTCGCCGCCCTATCCACGGCGGCGCTGGCCGTCTTGTACACCAACAAGTACTCTATAGTAAACCGCAGAAAAGGCTGAGAATCCAAGGCAGTGAGGGGAAGAACCTGAACCGGCGTCGGCTCCGACGGGCTCACCAAAACAGCTTCTTTTACATGTATGGAGGTCGCCATTTTTGCATAAGAAGAATATTGGAATAGCCTTGGCTACGCATATATATACACCATATATAATATATGTGTGTGTAGGGGCCGCGTGGGTGTGGGGGGTGGGTGCGTGCAGTGGGGTATTGAGTTTAAAGGAGAGAATTATTGCATGTAATATGTATAGCTATACATTCATTTATATAGAAGAAGAGAGGTCCCTATACCTATACTATATGTGTCAATGTCAAATTCTTTGTATATATAATCACATGATACAATGGTACCCAAAATTTTAAAATAAAAAATAAGTCACATAGTAGACCAAATTACTTCATTATTAAAAAAAAAAAATTATTATTTACACCGACTTTTATAAAAAACCTAATCGATGGGCTATACCTAGATAAACCTACGTATGGCGGCCTAGACAGATATATCTCGTTGATTGAAGAAGGTCGAGGTCAAGTCCAAGTGGCATGGCCAGGTAAATTGATAGACCAATCAGGAGAGGGCACTTGGAAGCACGTCAATAAACCAACTTAGCTCTGACTGATTTTAGCATGTATAAATAGCTTAGCTGATCCGGCTCAAAGAAGCATCATATATATTATCACTTAACTAACGACTTGTATCTTACCTGCTCAAACTTTGTCCCATACCATCTGGATATCTTTCTACCAATCGATTGACACTTATATTATATATTATATACACTCATATTGTTGTATCTATTACTCCAAAGTGTTCCTAAGACCCTGGTCTAATTTACACTCCTAATGTGAAACAATGAGACAATTGAATACTCGATTATGATGTCATATCATTTAGTTTAAAAATTGTAATATAAGTAACATTATTATTATTATTATTATTATTATTATTTTCTTCTTCCTCTCTCTCCACTGTGAAAGATTTGTGCAAGATTCTCTGGCATAACTTTATGGATAGAAAAATAGAAAAAATAAAAATAAAAATGGTGAAATGGTTAGCTTTGCTTTCTGTCTGTTCCGGGAATTGATAGCCACAAGTGGCACTCCCTTTCTACCTTATATACTCATATTTCTCTCTCAACATATATTATTCTAGTTTCAAGAATATACGTGGCATATATTAACTAACATTATATTTTGCGCTGAAATTTTACCTCTTAATATTAATACTAATTGATTGAAATCTTTTGTGCTTGATTGCATGTTAATTAAATGGAAGCACAATCAGTTTGGTTGACCTGAGTAGCCATGCATTATTATCTCTTAAGAGATGTTTGGAATTCGAACCTCCTTCCGACGAGAATTTGGATCCCCTTTCGAATAAAAAAATCAATATGACCAACACTTTGCTCCCTAATTGAGCTGACCCGGTGCGAACATAGATTAGTCTGGGTATGATATGGGCTTAGCTTACAAATGTCTTTTACCGTTAGGGTTTGCTTAGAACACATCGTGATCTGACAAAAAAATTAAATGGAAGCCCCCATTACCTCCTATTGTTATGATTTGTTCAGGACACCTGGCTCCTTAATTGGGCTAGTCCGATGCGAACGAGAATTAGTCTGGGTATGGTATGAGTTTAAATGTGCCTTCTACAGTTAGGCTCTTATTTGCTCACGATACCTCGTGATCTGATCAAAACAATTAAGTGGAAATCCCCACCCCCTCACGAGGGTGAAATTTAAGAACAATGACATGAAATCGAGTCTCACTACAGTGTAGAGCAACCTCTCAAAGTGAGGGACTCCTTGTGCGCACTAAACAAAAGCCTACTAAAGCTGTGTTAAAGTTAAATTTTCCCAACATAAATCATAGATCAACAATATAATTTTCTTTTTATTTTTATTCCCCTGCAACTTTGTATATTCTTTGGTGAAATATAATAATGTATGTGTTAATGGACATGGATGCTGATACCTGTCTATATATACATATATGTCTTGTCCCAACACAGTATATCAACTACAAAATTTATATAAGATCATATCGGGGATAGGATGGATATATATCTCGAATGATTAAAGAATAAGAAAAAATAATATAAATCTTGTCGCAATTAAGAACATCATTCATAGAAATCTTTTACCTAAATATATACTTATCCTTTCTTATCTTAAGTTCATAAAGTCATAATAATAAACAATTATCCTATGATAAAAAGGTGAACTGATAATATTTTTGTTGAAATATTGTGTGTGCGCATGATTTGTCGGGGAGAAAATTAAATTTAAAAAAAAAAAAAAAAAAAAAAAAAAAAACCTAGTGATGTTGCATGGACATGATGGCAACTTTTTGAAGAGGTATACATAGTCAAAGTGTGGAGGGTGAGTGGACCCAACCACAGTAAAGGAATTATTACACTTGGGTGAGTGACACTAGGACAGTGTGATTCGCAAAAAATATTTTAAGGAAAATGTAATTGAAATTTTATGAAAAACAATTTTATTGTTTGATTGATAGAAAAAATTACTGAGAATATTAATTCTATTGTTTGATTAGGGCCCTGTTTGGTAAAATGGCTGTTAGTTGATAGCTATTTGCTGTTAGCTGATTGTGTTAATTAGAGGGTATAAATAGTTGATAATATTAGCTGATTGTAGAAAAGTGTTTGGTAAATTAGCTGTTAGCTGATAGCTGTTTGGTAGAATTTCTTTTCTCAAAAAGCTAATTAAAAAAGTTGCTAGGAGTAGCTTTTTTAATTTTAGCCTTTTGGAGTTGCAAAAAGCTAATTAATCAAACATTTATATTGATATTTTAACTAAATCAAACAATTAATAGTGATCAAATAAACCAAAATTGGCCTATAGGCCAATTTTTTTACCAAACAGGGATTTGCATTGTAAGGATTAACGAATATAAAGATTTATATGTTCCTATAAATTAATAAAAGAAATATAATTAAGAAAGAAAGTTAGGGTAAAATAGTTAAGTCATATTATTTTTCTCTTCTTTCATGAAAAACAAAATCACATATGTCACCAGAGATTTTGTTTTCCTCAAATTTAAAGAATTCATTTTAAAAAATGAATTCTATGAACCAAACATTTTAAAAAAATAATAATAATATCTTCCTCCACTTTAAAGAAAAATGTTTTCATTCAACCTAACATCCCTTAAGTGTAACACGATTGTGATTGTATTCTCTTTTTCTTTTAGGGCCCCCATCATGGTAACACAATCATGGTGAGACTCAATCCCTAGTCATTCTTTCAAAGTTTCACCTCTGTGACCAGTTGAGCTGCCCATGCGGGTATTACAATTGTATTCTCAAAATTATATACTCCGTACTTCTTAGTTTAGTATTATCACTTTTACATAATGTATAACAAAAAGTAAAAAAAAAAAAAAGAAAAAGTAAAGGAATAAATATATCCATTCTATAAAATAAAATTAATAATTAGTTAATATGTCATGAAATATAGAGAAAATTACAAATCTGCATAAGCATAAAGTTAGAGCTTTGAATTTTTGAGCAATTTTTTTCTAGGTGTGTGGGGGGATTATATTTCTATTGATAATTGGGTTTTTATTCCGGATTTTTTGGAAATGCTTTGAAAAGCAACAAAAACAAAAATCAACGCTGCCCAACCGGCACGTCTTGTCCTTTTTTTCCCATCTTTTTTCATATAGTTCCAAAATACTGTCCAAAAAAAAAAAAAAGCACCACCATTAATCTTGTTCTACGTGAGTAATAAAATTATGTATACTTTCATTTTCTTTTATTTCATGTTTACATCACATATTTTGATTAATTCAAGAAAAATAGATATCTTATCTTTCTTTTACTAATAGAATTAAAATACATAACGGAATTGGAAATTTTCCGTGATAAGAGTATATTTATCATTTTTTCTCGTGAATGGAAATGAATCCCAGTGCAGCATGTGCTAGATTGCAGAGATGCTCAAAGGACATGATGTAGGACCATTGTGCAGGGTTGTGGACTTTTCCAGGGTCCATTATATTTTGTTTTCTTGGATCCTTAGGTTCAATAAATTATATATATATATATATATATATATATATATATATATATATATATATATATATATATATATCGCATTCAACAAGCTAAGAATACTTATTATTAAAAATTGTCAAAAAAAATTGTCAAATCAAGCTCTTACTATATATTATACAAAAATTATAAGTGGTAACAAATTAATTAAATGACATACTCTGATACTAATTGTTGTATCTAATGTATTACATTATATCACAATTAAAGTTATAGTGAGTAACTCTCATGTGTGTAGTTTGTTGACTATTATACATGAACGTGTTTACCCAATTATCCCAAAAAAAAAAAAAAGTAATAAATGCGCAACTTAATTTTTTTGTACTTACATAGCAAGCTAGCGACATCGCCATATTCAAAAGTACGATTTTGGAATACAGCTTTAGGATTTATCTACTGTATACTCCCGAATAGTGGCCATATGTTTTTCTTGCATATAACATGTTGAATTGATCTTATAAATCACCATCCAAGAAAAATATACGAAAATTATATCAAATAAAGTTAACTTTAATCAAGATGAACGATTCATCCGATAAATCTATGCAACTAATTAATAAGCTAAGGTGGATGCTAAAGTAAAAAGATGTAGCAGTGAAGTATTTTTTTTATGATTTTGCACGTACCCTTAAACGATCCATTCTAGAAATGGTATAAAAAAGAATATTGGAAAAAATTCTTTTAAGAATTTATTGGAGCACGTAATTGATATGTAATTCGATCTGTAAACACATCAAATATCTTCTCTTTATAGATTGTATCAACAGGAAGAATCTTGTCTTATCATCTGTTTGTTCTCTCATGCCTCTTTTCCTTCTAGTATAGCTTAGTAGCATTATATATTATTTTTTCTTTTGAATGACCAAAAAAATCTACAATCTTCATAATTTTTTAATAACAAGATAAAATCTAATTATTATTTAAGGTATTCAATTATAACCACATTCTTTTAATACTTGAATTATTTTCTACCTACTCAACCACCTCTCCCGGACCTCAACGGTAAAATGTACAACTATATGCGTGAAATTTATAATTACATATAATAACCTACGAATAAAGTTGCATAATTATGTATGAGTAATTAGTCAAATCAAATTGGGGGGCTAAAATTCTTCATTATGGATGGGAATAAAGTAAGATTTGGTTCTTTGATGTCTT